GGCAGGAGAGTTAAGGAGCCAGGCAGCTGGGTCCCGTGGCAAGAGTGGCCGCCCCAGAGTGGGTGGCCGTGGGGCAGAGCGCCTGGTTCCGGGTTAGGCAATGAGGAGCCGGGGCCAGGCCTGTCAGGTGGCAGGATCGTTAGGGCCCCGTGGCCATGGGTACCCCACACTGCAGCCACTGCTGCTGCTGAGTAGGCAGATGCACTGGGCTGATTACCACGCTCCTCCCGGCCACACCAACTTCCCCCAGGGCACCCACCCCCTCCACCTCTCCTCCCCTCCCCACAGTGACTCCTGCCCAGGGAATGTCCAGCTCTGGCATAAAGGACCCAAGTGTCCTCGAGCTGCCGTCAGTCAGGACGCTGTGCAGGCCGAGATGGGCTTGTCTCGGGCACCCTGGATGGGGCGTGTGGGCGGGCGCGGGATGATGGCACTGCTGCTGGCTGGTCTCCTTCTGCCAGGTAGGAGGCTGGGGGCCCTGGGAACAGGAGGAAGGTGGGAGGGAGAGTCCAGGAGAGGACCCAGTGAAGGGGACGGGCAGGGGCTCTGGAATCTGCCTTTTGAGTCTGGGGATTGCTCCTCACTGCCTTGTCACCTCAGGTAAGTTTCTTAAACTTCCTGAGCCTCAGTTTCTGAAATTCTGAAGTGGGGTTAATGACACCTATCTCTAGTCTATGTGTCTCAAATTAAATAATGTATGTGACACATGCTTTGGAAATTCTAGAGGTTTATATAAATGGTGGTGGTGGTGATTTTTATTATGGGAGAACTACACGATAATGATTGGACATTTAATAGTGATATCAATTTTAGAGCCTTTTAATATGCTAGACTCTGTTTTAAGCACATTTGGATTATATATTAGAACCTTTTTTTTTTTTGGTGAGATGGAGTCCCACTGTGTCTCCCAGGCTGGACTGCAGTAGCGTAATCTCGGCTCACTGCAACTTCCACCTCTCATGTTCAAGCAACTCTCATGCCTCAGCCTCCCGAGTAGCTGGGACTACAGGCGCCCATCACCACACCTGGATAATTTTTTTTGTATTTTTAGTAGAAACAGGGTTTCACCATGTTGGTCAAGCTGGTCTGGAACTCCTGACTCAAGTGATCCACTCGCCTCGGTCTCCTGAGGCGCTGGGATTACAGGCATGAGCCACCACACCCAGCCTACATTAGCACTTTTGATCATTACAAGAATGGTATGAAAGGAGATTTGCTATTTCCACTCTACAGATGAGGACACTGAGGCATGAAGAGGTTAGGAAACTAGCTCAGGATCATGCATTAGAAAGCAGCAAAGCCAAGATTTCAACCCCAGGCCAGGTGACCCCTGGACCTGTGTTGTTGACCACCGGGTACTTACAGCGCTTGAGGAATTTCTGCGACCTTCCCATGGTCTGGTAGGTGGTTGGTGTCTGAGGGAATAGAGAAAGAGAAAGGCAATGCTTGGTGGATTTATGCAGAGTACTGAAGGGAATTGGCACAGAAAGGGTTTGGTGTGGAGGTGCATGCAGAGAATTTCTTTCTGAGGAGAGAACAGGGACATCACAGAGGATGGAAGTCTGGTTGTTAGTGAAGGGGTCAGGATGAGTGGCAGTAATAAATCATAATGTATAATGCTTTACACTTTCTAAAACATCTTCTGGCCGGGCACGATGGCTTGCACCTGTAATCCCAACACTTCAGGAGGCCAAGGCAGGTGAATCACCGGAGGTCAGGAGTTCAAGACCAGCCTGGCCAATATGGTGAAACTCCATCTCTACAAAAAATACAAAAAATTAGCTGGATGTGGTGGCGGGTGCCTGTGGTCCCAGCTACTTGGGAGGCTGAGGCAGGAGAATTGCTTGCACCCAGGAGGCAGAGGTTACAGTGAGCTGAGACCATGTTATTGCACTCTAGCCTGGACAACAAGAGCCAAACTCCATCTCAAAAAACAAAAAGAAAAAAATCTTCCAGATGGATAATCTCATTTAGTCTTCTTCATAGTAATGCTGTGAGAAGGCAAGACAAATTTGGCCCCTCTGAATGTATAAACTAAAGCTCAGAGAGGTTCAGTAACTTGCTATGTGGCTCTGTTTGTGTCACGTGGGACCTGGAGGGACCAGGGAATGCAGAAGAAATGTAGGTGAAAGAGTCATGGAGGAACCACAGGGTAAGTTGGGCCTCGGGTTTTGAGCAAAGGAAAGGAAAGATAAGGAAAGATGTGTTCCCACATCCCAAAGGGAAGTCAAGGCAGCAGAAGTCAGATGAAGGGCTGGATGGAGGCAGGTGTGCTCAGAGAGGGAAGCTAATCATGGCCAGGAGTCTTTGAGGCTCTCGGGGTTTCGTCCTGGGCTGGGCCAGCGAGAGCAGGGCTGGCTCAGGGTGCGGTGTCCTGCCACACTGGTACCAGCAGGTTCTGAAGCAACAGATAGTGACCCCACATCCTGGCCCCCACCCAGCCTTACTGGCATGGCCAGTGCTGGGATGGGAAATAGGGTTTCCATTCCTGACCGCAGCCTGGGCTCTCACGAAGAAGCTGGTGACCAAATCTTAGTCCTCAAGTGCCCTTTCCTTTATTTCAGCCCCTCTGCCCCCAGCTTTATCTTTTTCCGGTGTCTCCTTCTATGTTTTTCTCCGCTTCTCAGCCCTCCATTGTTTTGCCTTTTGTCTTCTCCTTCCCTTTGGTCCCACTGTCTGGCCCAGGATTTTTCTCCTTAAGAATTTATGCCTGGACTTCTCAGAGCCTCAGTTTCCCCAGTTCTCTGTCTCTTTAGGGTCCTTTCTTTTAGACCTACTTGTTCCTGCCATTTTTCCATTCCCTTTTCTTTTAAAAAATTTTTTAAATTAAAAAACAATATACAGATGGGGTCTCACTATGTTGCCCAGGCTGCTCTTAAACTCTGGGGCTCATGCAATCCTCCCACCTCGGCCTCCCAAAGTGCTGGGATTACTGGCGTGAGCCACTGTGCCCAGTCCCCTCTTATCTTCAATGTATTCCTTTGAGGCCCCTCACTTTGGCACCTAATTTTCTATTTTTCTGGTTGGTGTTTGCCCACCCTTCCCAAACAATGGAACTGCTTTTATTCTGCCACCTCAATATCCTTTAGAGACAATAGCCAGTTCTTCCTCCTTTCTCCATCCCTAAACTCTACCTGGGCTCCGCTTGGGAGAAACCTGAGAGGCCGATGACTGAGATAGAGGCCGATGACTGAGATAGGGCTGAAAGGTGAGGGAGGAAGCCAAGACTCCCTGGCCCTTACTAACCACTGCTTTCCTCCACAGGGACCTTGGCTAAGAGCATTGGCACCTTCTCAGACCCCTGTAAGGACCCCACGCGGATCACCTCTCCTAATGACCCCTGCCTCACTGGGAAGGGTGGCTCCAGTGGCTTCAGTAGCTACAGTGGCTCCAGCGGTTCTAGCAGCTCCATTTCCAATGCCAGTGGCTCTGGCAGTGGCTCCAGTGGATCCAGCGTTGCCCAGGGTGGTTCTGCAGGATCTTTTAAGCCAGGAACAGGGTATTCCCAGGTCAGCTACTCCTCCGGATCTGGCTCTAGTCTACAAGGTGCACCCAGTTCCTCCCAGCTGGGCGGCAGCGGCTCCCAGCCCGGCAGCGGCTCCCAGCCCGGCAGCAGCGGCTCTCACTCAGGAAGCAGCGGCTCTAACGCAGGAAGCAGCGGCTCTAATACAGGAAGCAGTAGCTCTCACTTGGGAAGCAGCAGCTCTCATTCCAGCAGCAGCAGCAGCTTTCAGTTCAGCAGCAGCAGCTCCCAAGTAGGGAGTGGCTCTGCTCTGCCAACCAGTGACAACGCTTACCGCGGAATACTAAACCCTTCCCAGCTTGGACAAAGCTCTTCCTTTTCCCAGACCAGTGGCCAAAGGGTCAGCTCCAACCAGCGTCCCTGTAGTTCAGACATCCCCGACTCTCCCTGCAGTGGAGGGCCCATCATCTCACACTCCGGCCCCTACATCCCCAGCTCCCACTCTGTGTCAGGGGGTCAGAGGCCTGTGGTGGTGGTGGTGGAGCAGCACGGTTCTGGTGGCCCTGGAGTGGTTCAAGGTCTCCCCTGCAGCAACGGTGGCCTTCCAGGCAAGCCCTGTCCCCCAATCACCTCTGTAGACAAATCCTATGGTGGCTACGAGGTGGTGGGTGGCTCCTCTGACAGTTATCTGGTTCCAGGCATGACCTACAGTAAAGGGAAAATCTACCCTGTGGGCTACTTCACCAAAGATAACCCTGTGAAAGGCTCTCCAGGGGTCCCTTCCTTTGCAGCTGGGCCCCCCATCTCTGAGGGCAAATACTTCTCCAGCAACCCCATCATCCCCAGCCAGTCGGGAGCTTCCTCAGTCATTGCATTCCAGCCAGTGGGGACTGGTGGGGTCCAGCTCTGTGGAGGCGGCTCCACAGGCTCCAAGGGACCCTGCTCTCCCTTCAGTTCTCGAGTCCACAGCAGTTCTAGCATTTCCAGCAGCTCCGGTTCACCCTACCATCCCTGCGGCAGCACTTCCCAGAGCCCCTGCTCCCCGCCAGGCACCGGCTCCTTCAGCAGCAGCTCCAGTTCCCAATCCAGTGGCAAAATCATCCTTCAGCCTTGTGGCAGCAAGTCCAGCTCTTCTGGTCACCCTTGCATGTCTGTCTCCTCCTTGACACTGACTGGGGACCCCGATGGCTCGCCCCATCCCGATCCCTCCGCTGGTGCCAAGCCCTGTGGCTCCGGCAGTGCTGGAAAGATCCCCTGCCGCTCCATCCGGGATATCCTAGCCCAAGTGAAGCCTCTGGGGCCCCAGCTAGCTGACCCTGAGGTTTTCCTACCCCAGGGAGAGTTACTCGACAGTCCATAAGTCAACTTTCGTGTGTGTGCATGCCTTGGGCACAAACAAGCACATACACTATATCCCATATGGGAGAAGTCCAGTGCCCAGGCACAGGGTCAGCTCAGTTTCCCTCCTCCTTCCCCAAAGAATGG